GTGCGCTAGGATTAGATCTATGCTCTACCACCCAATCAGAGTTTATTTTGTATATATATTACTATAATTTTGGTTCTTATCCTCATTATATTCAGAGTCTAGCTCATATATACACCGAGATCTCTGTGCTATTTCTGATTTTTGTGTTATTTTTAACTAATTATCACTAATAAAATTGTTTTTTATTTTTTGGACCCTGTGGTCCCTTTTAAATGTACCTGAATTCTACACACTTAGTGTTGTAGTCTCAGGTCCTGGCTAATCCTTTCCCTACCTTAAAGGTACACACTTCTCTTGTTTTGTATCCATTTTCACCAGGGGTTATCCCCCTTTCCTTGTGTACCTTGGCTGTTCTTTGACAAAGTTTTCTATGCTAATTGGTTGATCGTGTTTCTATGTGAATATGGTTTTTGTAATGCTCATATACATTTATTTTTTTCAATGTTATTTATTTGCTGCTAAGGCTCCTAAAACCTTCACGCTAAGCAAGGGAAACTCTAGTGAATAACAGAGGCAAAAACCAAAGTGGATGCTACAGCTGTGTTTAAGTGGTTTTGTAGAATTCTGTTTCAGCGTGGACTGAGATTGATTGTAACAACAATGTTACACTCAAAAGTATTGTGCTGTTACTGTGTATAACTGTACAACTTTGCATGAGGCAATCCTTATTGTTTATTTATGTTTATCTGAAGGAAAAAAAATTACTTAAAGGATCACTATAGGGTGAGGAACACAAACATATATTCCTGACCCTATAGTATTACAACCACCATCTAGCCCCCCTGGGCCCCTCATGCCTCCATAAATATAGTAAAAATCTTACTGTATTCAAGCCTGAAGCTGTAACTCTGCAAGCTCTTAGACTCAGAAAAACAAGCAGTCTGCTGACATCAGCAGAAGTGGTAGCCTGATCTAATCACAGTGCTTCCCCATAGGATTGGCTGAGACTGACAAAGAGGCAGATTGGGGTAGAGCCAGCATGATTCAAAGATAGCCCTGGCCAATTAGCATCTCCAGGTGAATTGAATCAATGAATCTCTATGAGGAAAGTTCAGTGTCTGCGTGCAGAGGGAGGAGATACTGAATGTTTGGATGCATTTTAGTCAGCCATGACCCAGGAAGGATCTCTATCAGCTATCTGAGGAGTAGCCAGTGAAGTTATCACTAGGCTGTAATGTAAACACTGCATTTTCTCTGACAAGACAGTGTTTACAGCAAAAAGCCTGAAAGTAATGATTCTACTTACCAGAACAAATTCAATAAGCTGTAGTTGTTCTTGTGACTATAGTGTCCCTTTAAGTAAATAATTTAAAAAAATAAAAACAAAGAGTGCAGCATAATAGGAGCATCTGTGTCTTTAATACAATTGGCGCTTTTATAAATTAACCTTGTTACATCCCCCTGGCTTTCAATCAACCAGTCCTGTTACTTCCTGGTTGTTTAGTGGAGCAGAAATCAAGACGCAGCAATTGCAAAAAACACCTGCCTTGCAAAGCTGCATTGGAAAGTTTGTGATTGGTCAGCCACACAAGGTCTGGCCTGGGGAAGAAGAGGAGGGCTTGCAAAGACTGCAGACAAGATCTTTTGCAAGCTGTTTTTAGATATACCCCAATAAAATGGCATAATTAAATGCAAGCATGTTTTCATTGGGGACAGATGAGGCTGGTGGTATATCTACTAAAGGGAAACTCCAGTGCCAGGAAAACAATCAGTTTTCCTGGAACTGCAAGTCCCCTCTCCCTCCCACCACCCATCCCCCGGTAGCTGAAGGGGTGAAAACCCCTTCAGGTCACTTATCTGAGACCCCGCCGATGTCCCTCGGCGGTGGTTTCTGCTCGCCGCTGCTCGTCCCAGTGATTACGTCAGCCGGTGGGCGAGACTGATCCCGCCGGCTGAGGAAACGTAATGCGCATCAATGCCGTGCATGCGCATTAGAGCTCTCCATAGGAAAGCACTAGAGGTGGAGTTAACCCTGCAAGGTAATTATTGCAGTTTATAAAAAACTGCAATAATAACACTTGCAGGATTAAAGGTAGTGGGAGGTGGCACCCAGACCACTCCAATGGGCAGAAGTGGTCTGGGTGCCAGGAGTGTCCCTGAAGCAGGGATTTGTATTTCTTATTTTGGCAGAGGAGTGTCCCTTTTCATTCCAGCAGTGTTGCATATTTCTGTTCACACTGTAGACAGCAGCCTGCACAGTGCAGAGTCTTCTCCTCCCCCCACCCAGTACATACAGTCATGTCGGGGGCTTAATAAGCTGAGGAGTGAAGGCCCCCTCTCAGCTCTAGATGTAGATGGCACTGTACATTATGCACTCGCCAGCAGCATTCACTCCAAAATAAACTTTGAATGCTGCTTGCGAGTGAAGCATAAGGAGCAGGGGAGGGAGGTACCGGTAGTCCTGTGCCTGCCTGACAGCCTTCACACACAGGAAGCATGTGACCTGGCAATCAGGCAGAGAAGGGCAGCCCACGCGGGTCCTCTGACGTTTTGCTTCCTGTGTGTAAAGTGCTGGCAGGCAGGGAGAGGAGTGAGCAGAGGGCCAGACAGAGCTGCAGGCAGGCTGCTTTTCAGCCAGGAGCTCAGCACAGATCAAGGAGCAAGGTGGGCACAGTGAGCAGTGGCACCCGGGTATTTTATGTTCATTTCCACGATTCTTAGGGTGTATATTTGAGTGTGTAATTGTGTGTGGGAGGTGTTTTTGAAGGTATTATGTGTGTGTCAGTATGGATTAGTGTGTGTGTGTGTGTGTGTCAGTATGGATCAATGTATGTGTCGGTATGGATCAATGTATGGATTAGTTTGTGTGTGTGTGTGTGTGTGTGTCTCAGTATGGATCACTGTGTGTCAGTATAGATCACTGTGTTTGTCTGTTTGTGTGTGTCAGTATATGTCACTGTATGTGTGTGTGTCAGTATGGATCATTGTGCACCAGTGTATGTGAGTGTGTGTATAATGTGGGCATCAGTACGTGCCAGTGAGTATCAATTAATCAAAAATCTGTGTTGATACCTATATATGTTTTTTTTTTTTTAAATGACATGTTGAATTAAAAAAATTCAATATAGCTTTGCTTTATCTATGTGATTTGTGGAAGTATTATACATACATACATACATATGCACAAATGGTATTATATCACTATATATGTGTGTGTATGTATATATATCATAAGCATAATTTAATTATGTTTATAATATATAATATATTCATGCATAATACACTTGGAAATTACACGCACACACACACATATATATATATATATATATATATATATATATATATATATATATATATATATATATATATATATATAGTAAGTATGAAGGGTTTGACATTTGCCAAAGGGTTTTTACTAATATTTTTAATTTTAAAAAGTGAAAATCCAAATTTCATAATTTAAACCAAAATAGCGGATTTGAAACAAAATTTCAACTTGGTATAGTGACAGCTTGACTATTGTAGCCTAAATTTTGCAATTTACATTTTCATTCACAAGAAATATTAGTTTAGTGGATAACCCTGCCTATCTCTCAGTCTTTCATTCCCTGGTATAAAACTACATACAACGAAGAGTGCGCTCATAGGAATGAGGACTAAACAAAATAACATTTATTTAAATCAGACGTGCAGCAGCATTCAGTCAATGTTTTATTCCCATTACTGGACCTTTCAAAATTATGAGGATGAACCATTGAAGTAAGATGTTGCACATCTGATTAGAATCAAACAGCGCTTTTGTTTAAGTCCAGTGAGTGCACTCCTTCTTGTTGGTTAAATAAATGTAACTGTATATCTGTCAAAGCTGGCACAATTAATGATAGGGCTGGTATAACATTTTTCCAGGGCTGCTTTTTATTCCCAGTCCGGCCCTGATTATGCCCAGGGCATACTTGAAAATAAGAGAAATCTCGATGTATTCATCCTGGTAAAATACTTTATAAATAAACGTGCGATTTACACAGCTAAATGTTTTTGGTAGCCATCAAGAGCATTTCTAGCATTAACATAGAATGAGATCTCCGAGGTCTCACGCACCCCCGATCTTGGATTATCTGTGGGACTCCACCCTCATTGTCTGCATTGTGCGCTCATGGCGCTCTGAGAGTCGAGGATGCCAGGCTGGGCCCTGCAATGCACAGGGAGGGAGGGGCTGTGAGCCAGAGCATTCATCGCTGCTCGAACTACGGGCGTTCTGTATAAAGAACAGTACTGGTGCGAAGTTATTTTAGTGCAGCGATCAGCAGCAACATTCCATCGGTTTCCTTGGTGACCATTCTACTTATAGAACGCTGCTCAATATCTGCTGCAACATCATTATCCTCTATGCAGTGACTGAACTGCCCTGATTAAATGAGCCATGTGCTGCCAACCATCAGGACCTACCTAGCAATCCTGACACATGGCAACCGGTACGGTGCACTGCCCCCCTTTGTTCTTACTGCCCTTGCTAACCTTACACATCATGGCGGCTACAGCAGCTGGAGCGCATCGCCAGGGGTTAGCCATTGGCGGGAGGGGCACTGCTTAGCTCTCCTGCCGCACTGCAGGGGTTAATCACAGCAAATGAAGGGATTCAGTGTCTGCCAGTGCTGTGTCAATTAAAGCCGTGTCAGACACCCGGGGTCACTCGGACAGGCAACGTGTAGAACGGTCAGAGCTGTCAATCAATTACCTGACACGCCCACTCCGTCTGTCACCCCTGCCCAGCCCGTACCGCGCCTTCCCAGACCACGCCCACCGTTCTATTCCGCGCGGAGTCCGCCCTCCCGCCGCTTCTGTGTGCAGCGATTGGCTGTCGGGGCTGTCAGTCAGTGCTGTGCGCGCCGCTGATTGATAGTGTGCTGAGCGTGCGATGGGCGGGGCCGAGCCCTTCATATAACAGCCGAGGCGGTTTCGGTATTGGGTTCTTTTCGGTTCATCTTTCGGCCCGAGTTATCCAGCGGGGTGTTCGCGCTCTGTCTCCTTCCTCCTGTCTCAGCCCTCCCGAGGCCCGCACCATGGTGGTCAAGTGCTTCTTCGATATCGCCATCAACGACATGTCGGCAGGCCGCATTGTCATGACGGTAATGGCGGGGGTCACAATGCAGCGCTGGGAGCGGCCCTCACATGGCCTCCGGGACACTTCCTGTCCGTACCGGCCCTCGGGGGCCACAGTCACTACAATAACCATGCCGCTTCCCCCCTCCATCCCCCCAGCCTGGCCGGCTCCGAGGGCGGATTCCTGCCAGGCCGCTCACTGTCAGAATAACGGTACAGCGAGCACAGTGGGCGGGCTGGCAGGCAGGCTCTGGCCGGCCGGGCTGGGGTAGTGGAATCCATCTTAGATGAATCCAGCAATGTGTGATGGGCTCCTTCCGCCACAAAATGTCTGCCCTCGGGCTGCTGCCAGCATTCCCGCCCATAGCGGCTCTCTGTATACCGTGTGTCGGCGGTAGGCTGGCTGTGCACTGCCCGCCGCTCTGGGGGGAGGCTGCCCGCCGCTATGGGGGCAGTCTTGTAGCGCGTTATGGAAGCTGCCAGGCCTGCCTGCGGCCATGCTTTATTGTAGTGCGGGTCCTGCATACCGCAGAACGCCCTATACCTGGCATTACAATGCCGCCATCTACTGGTGGCCGGTAGAAGCGCACACAACGGGCAGTGAGATGCAGCAATTATAGAATGCCCGTGGAATCGAACGCTAGAACCTCTGTTCACACTAATTGCTTAACACAGGGTTCAAGGTTTAACTTCAGAATTTTTAGTTTTTTTTGGAGTTCATATACTGTTACGTCAGTCTACACTATTTACACTGAAGGCTATCACGTGCACTGCATTACCTGGTAACATAACGTAAGACTGGCCGGCCAGCATGTCACGTCAAGCAATTATCTGACGCTGAAGTGCAGCCCTGGCTCTTTATTGTGCGCACTGATGTTTATTATGTCATGCATACAGTCTTAACTATGGTGTCTCGTATAGTTAACCAGCAGCTTTGTATTCCTGGCACTAACTGTATCACTTTAAAATGACTAGTTCAATAGGTAGGATTGCCTTTGAGTAAATCTTATTTCTCATCCTTTCAGTAGTGACTTGGTGTCCTCTGTGTATAGCACATCCTGCTATTATCTGCTGGTAGCTATCTGCATGATATGAGCAGTCTATTTACGTTCACACATTCATAGGGCCTGCAAAGTTCCTTTTACCACCACCTACCAGATCTTAGAAACTAGCTTGTCCTGCTACATAAAGGCACTTGTTAGTGGCAAACTGATTTTGGAACTCTATCTACTTGTATCTCTTCTGAAGCCTACACTTGGTCATGTTATGTGCTGACCTGAAATCTGCATTTTTGTCTTAACTATTTACAGGCCTAGTAACAGTGTAGCCAAACATGATAACTTGCTGCATGTTTTGCTTCTATGTATTTCACATTGGTCTTGCATACTGTAATCATGTTATATAAGCTATTAAGTTTATCAAGCTAAAATAGGCAACATTCATTTGTAGTAAACTATGCTTTTTAAATAGCAGGTGTCAAATTCAAGCAACTGCAGAGAACTGCTCAATAGGTCAGGCACTCTACTCAACACCTTGAGCTTGTTAAATAAACCCCCTCACTATTAATGCAGAACTAGGCATATATTAACCAGTAAATTACAGCCTGGGGTTTAATTTCATGAGGTCTTGACTGTCTCAAGGTATCACTTAAAATAGTTCTAAATTGCACCAGGACAGTTTTCTCACTACAGCCTGACCTCTTCATATGAAATCATTGACTCTTGTTACATTGCATAATTGAGTCCAATGGAACGGTTTGGTGTCATGCTCTTCAAAATGTAAATTGTAAAATTGCAGGATGGCTAATAACTAGAGCGTTTACACCAAATGCAAACCTTGCCACTTATCAGAAATGTCAGGTCTCTACATATTTTGAAAAGGCCTCTGCACCAAAACACTACATTAAGATGTTGTTGTTTTTTTTTGTTTGTTTTTAGTGTGCTTTAAATTCAGTTATTGGTCTTTACTGACTTTGTTCACATCCAACCAATGCAGTTAATGAAGCTGTATTAACTGGGTCAGTCACTGCCTGTTTAACAGATCTATAGTGCTTGCAGGAAGATTAGTGAAACCATTCCACTCGCCATCAGCCACTTCTGTATTTCTGGCTTCACAGACTTGGCGTGCAGTACCATTTCACAATTGACCAGGAAATTCCCTGCTAAATGGATTCTCTAAAATGGGCTTGCTATAACACTCAAGGGCAAGTAGAGTAGGGATCGACTGATATTGAGGTGGTTTTTTTTTTTTTTTTTTTTAACAGATACCAACCTGTGAACTTTCAGGACAATAGCTGATAACTATACAATATTTTGTATAGTTACCACTTTGAAAAAATAAACCATATCTACTATTAACTGAACATGTTTAGTTTTTGCAAAAATGTTTTTAAGTGGTAAAGGCACAAAATATACATGCCAGTCAGATTATCTTATGTTTTCAATAATATTTAGTGTACCTCTCCCCTCCCTGGTGTGCCTAATTACCTCTCGTGGAGCAGACCAAGGTACAGGAAAGGCTGCAAAGACAGGAAGTGCTCTCTCAGTGAGCACTGTACAGGTCTGCTCTGGTCCACTCAACTATGCTACAGAGTGACTGACTGGCAGAGGAAGCACTGAACACTTCCTGCCTGTCACTTAATTCTTGCGCTCTAATGCAGCTGTGTTCATCCTTATGGATGTGCTAATTCTGAATTCTACAGGGAAAACATGGTGGTCTGCTAACCCTACAACTAAACTCTCACAAACCACTTAATGAAGCAGTCTGGGTGCAGTGGCCTTGTCGTGTGCAAGTGTTAAACTGCAGTGTTTACATTGTAAGATTATGTACAGCTAGTTTCGGTCTTCCAGACAGCCACAAGATGTGCTTCTGCCTCAAGAACAAGGTGAAACTTGGCAAGAAGAGCGCAGTTTGGCTGTGCATGTGTATCTCCAATCAAGTGATCCTCTGGGGAAGCATTAACTTGGTTGAGGTCTGCAGCAGTCTTGACCTTGAAATTGAGGAATAAATGTTTAATGCATTTTTCAATATCTAAAGTGGTGTGGTCGGTCTTCCCAACAGTAGAAGGGAACCTGTAGTACAGTGGGAGAGGGTGGTGGTACTATTACAGGGTTTTTAAACCTCCTTTGACAGTGTCTCAAATCTTAGCATAACCAAACTGCTGGCTAAAAGCTTGCCTTGACATATGCAGAGAACTTCAGCAGAAATGCCAAGTGCACATACAATCAAACTTCCTAGATGCCAGATTGCAATACATTCTAGGAAGACTCACTCAGAACATGTCACTGCGCTGAATGTAATTTCTTGCCTCTCCTGTTCACCTTTTGGTTTTTTTTTTAACCCCAGTAAATGCCATGTCGCAATGTGATTATTCTATAAAGGTAAAATCACTTTAAATTTGTCATGGGGCAGCATGGAGTTCTGGCACTGTAACAATTCAGCTGTTACTATTTTGCCATGAATTGCACCCTGGAATTGCAGCTCCTCTCTGCTGTATGCAGGAATGATTCACCAGATGGCAGGTGATAGTACTTTATTTCTCAGTGGGTGGCAAGGGATGGGGCTGAGCAGATCAGCATATCTGCTAAAAAAATCATCTTACTGCAGATAAGGAGGATGAGGACAGCAGTGTTTAAACCATTGCAATACAGTTTAAATTTCTGATCATTACCGGGACAGTCAGATGCATCAGACACTCACTGTTGAAGCCTTGAGTTGTCAGGTGGAATGTTTGTTTTTAATGAAGGTTATCATAACTTGATATAACTGTACTTGCTAAATCTCAAATCATGTGACCTCAATTGCATTGATAGTCCTTTCTGACAGCCATCTATCTCCTATTAAATAACTTAAAAGTCTCTCTCAGTGGAAAGCTGGGACGTTAAGTATCTGTTCTTACTAGCTAGAACAAACTCCAAATCAAAGTACACAATATACTGCTCACAGGCTCAAGTGTTGAGCATTTCCTCATTCATCTATCTTTAAAGGAACTCAAACACATTCCTGACCCTATAGTGTTAAAGCCACCATCTGCACCTCCCTCTGCTATCCCCCTAAATATAGCTGCTGTCTCAGCCCCTGATATTCCTGCTTGGCTGACATAATCAGAAATGATACTCTGAGCCTATCACAATGCTTTCCCATAGGATTGGCTGATACTGGCAAGGAGGTAGAGCCTGCCAAGCCAAACACGACTCTGGCCAATCAGCATCTCCTCATAGATGGCACTCCATGCATCTCTGAGGAAAGTTCTGTCTCCATGAAGATAATGGAGGCGCTGAAATGGCTAGTAAGCACCTTGAGTGGCCAGTGGAGGTATCCTAGGCTGTAATGTAAAGACATTGTTTACTATGAAAAGCATGACTTTACAATAAGCTGTAGTTCTGGTGACCATAGTGGCTTAAGATGCAGTAAATTCCTTAGATCAGTGTTACTAGCAAGCTGCTTGCATAAATCGTTTGGTCAACACGAATAGAACACGTCCCAACTTCTCTAAAGCCTCTAAGTCCCTAACCCATGAGGGGACTGGACCAAAAATAAATGTAAATGTTCTGTCTTGTCTGAAGTACATGGCTAACTTCATGTCATTTTATGGCTTGTCACAGCTGTTTGTCCCTTCCTTGATCACTTGCTGCCTCTATCCTACTTAAACTAAGCATTGCTATGGAAGTCCCACAAATCTGTCAAGCGGACTACCACTGCATTTGCAATACTCTGTAGGGCTCAAACCTGCCTCATGTGAATTATGTTAATCGTGCCCTGGCCAGCCTGATTGGGTAGTCTTCTTGCATAACTAGTGAAGCCAACTTAACAGATGCCAGTGAATGACGCTTCATGGCAATATGCTCTAAAGCAAAAACTTATCCTGCACCTGTACATGTCTTTAATGTGTTTTAAGCCTGTCTAGATTTGGGACATGAGGTCTTGAATGAGATTTATTCATGAGCTCCAGTTTGAAGCTTAGGCCACATAACAATCTAAACATATGTCCACTGTGGGCTTTCTTCACAGGCACTAGTCCTCCAGGTGCAAATGAGCACTGCTGACTCTTTCCTTGAACAAGTGGCACTTATATTGGTATATTACTATAATGCTGAATTACTTTCTTTTTTTTTTTTTTTTCTAGCTGAGAGATGATGTTGTACCGAAAACAGTTGGTGAGTAACTGGCATTTGTTTCAAATTATTCTAACAAAGTCTCTAAACTGCTAGCAATAAGAACTACTTGAATTAAGTCATGCCTTACCTGGCCCTCCTCTACCCTGCTGTGCTCGAATTTAACAGGTGGGTGTTGCACTTCTGCAGCAACCACCTCCAGTCCACCTGTGCTCCTTTTCTGTGGTGTCCTGTTTGGGGACTTCTCCAAAACAGGACAACATTTCCACTGACACACCGGCTTAATTGCCATTGTCTGTACAACCACAACTCCATTCCTGTACTCCCTGGCCAGTGCCCTTAGCACAGTCTAGATGCCATGGCACATTCTGTGAGGTTTCCTCACTGCTATGGAGTGTCTGCTAAGGATTTGAAACAGATTTAAAGGACCACTATAGTGCCAGGAAACATACTTTTTTCCTGGCACTATAGTGCCCTGAGGGTGCCCCTGCCCGGCTCTGTAAGGGGAAAGGGGTTAAACCGTACCTTTTTCCAGCGCTGGGCGGAGAGCTCTCCTCCCCGTCGGTTGAATGCGCACGCGTGGCAAGAGCTGCGCACGCATTCAGCCTGTCACATAGGAAAGCATTCATAATGATTTCCTATGGACGCTGGCGTGCTCTCACTGTGAAAATCAATGAGACAGCCACTAGAGGAAATAGGGGAAGGCTTGACCCATTCATAAACATAGCAGTTTCTCTGAAACTGCTATGTTTATTTAAAAATGGGTTAACCCTAGCTGGACCAGGCACCCAGACCACCTCATTAAAGGACCACTCTAGGCACCCAGACCACTTCAGCTTAATGAAGTGGTCTGGGTGCCTGGTCCAGCTAGGTTTAACCCATTTTTTTTCATAAACATAGCAGTTTCAGAGAAACTGCTATGTTTATCAATGGGTTAAGCCTTCCCTTATTTCCTCTAGTGGCTGTCTCATTGACAGCCACTAGAGGCGCTTGCGTGCTTCTCACTGTGATTTCAAAGTGAGGGCACGCCAGCGTCCATAGGAAAGCATTATGAATGCTTTCCTATGTGACCGGCTGAATTGCGCATGCAGCTCTTGCCGCGCGTGCGCATTCAGCCGACGAGGAGAGCTCTCCGCCCAGCGCTGGAAAAAGGTAAGTTTAAACCCCTTTCCCCCTTCCAGAGCTGGGCGGGAGGGGGACCCTGAGGGTGGGGGCACCCTCAGGGCACTATAGTGCCAGGAAAACGAGTATGTTTTCATGGCACTATAGTGGTCCTTTAAGCTGAAGTGGTCTGGGTGCCTAGAGTGGTCCTTTAAGTATTTTTCTAGCTGTTTTCCTTTGCAAATTATGAATTTGCTAGTACAATGTATACTTGGCTATTTTGTTTTAAAATTTTTGGGGATGAGAGGATTCCCTCTAAACCAGATGTACATTCTTTGTTTTTGAGTGCATGAAGAATGATCCATATATGCTGGTAATGCCACAATAGCAGATACCGGCCATTCGAGGGTAACAGAAATATGGCATAGAGTAAGACTGCACAAATCTTCTTATATGAACAAGCTTGACTTTGGGTAAAACATTAGCAAGAAAAGGATACAAACAAATATGAAAATCAGCTAAGCAGACTGTCTTTAAGATTTAAAAAGTGACGTCTGAATATCTATAGCAAGTGTTTGCCCTGGAGCTTCTTGGTATAGCATAATATATGATAAACTACGCAATGTAAAAGACGTATGTCTAGCATTAATAAAATGATTTAAAAAAATATAATACTGCTTGCCTGGTTAAACAGATGGCTGAAAACATGTTAGTGAGCCTGAGGAGAGGCATGTATGGGCATGACATTTCGAGGGACTTTAGCTTAATATATATTAAAGGTGGCTAGGAAGGTTAGTTTCAGGCTATAATATAGGTTTAGTAGATTACAGGAGCTGATCTTTCTTGCGGCAGTCAGGCCCCGCCCCATATATCTACTTTTAATACTCCCAGCCTCATCGCTCCACACAACCTCTTGTTTTCTTACTTTAGACACTTATTGCAAAAGGTCCAGTGCTGGCTATCAAAGTGGAAATGGTAGAGTAATGAGACCAATATATTAAGCAGTGACAACATGACTAGTGCTTTTCTGGGTTTTGCACTTATTCAGCCACTAGATAAATGGTCCAGGCCTCCAACTGCAGTATCACAACTTAATCTGCTGCCATATTTGTCTAAAGTTCTGAATAGGTGTTCAGACCTGACTTCTACAAATGTCTAACAAGTTTCTTTATCCTCTTGTAGTGATGTCTATCTTAATTTTTTTTTTTTATATATAGAAAACTTCCGTGTTCTGTGTACTGGAGAGAAAGGATTTGGATACAAGAACTCCTGCTTCCACAGAGTGATCCCTGAATTCATGTGCCAGGTATGGGTTGGTCTACAAAGCTTATGTGGTGCTGTAGCTCTATTGTGCTCAAATATGCACTCAAAGTACAGCTTTCTGTAGAGCTTTACCATCAATTTTCTTAGATTACATTACTTGGAAAACAAGCACAGAAACAGGGATACTGTGTATAGCACAAAACTATTCTGCAGTGCCTTATGATTACTGACACATCTTGCAGGTTCAAAACTAGAACACTAGTAAAGTTATGGTGCCAGGAAACTCCTTGGTCCACACTTGCCTCAAGGGGTTAAACCATTTCTCAGTCAGTCTGCAGCAACACTCGACACTTCCTGAAACAAATGTCAGAAGCAGGATGCCACTTGCATGAGTTGAGATCTATGCTGGAAGCAACTCTGGACTCAAATGTTAAACTCTTGAGGTAAGTGCATCTGGGGGTCTCCTGGCACCATAACTTAATTTAGATTTAGTTGTTATGGATGGTGTGTTGTGTCCCAACTCTATATACAGGTTGTGACTGTAAACTTGTCAAGCTCAGTCTGTTGCCATGGAGCTGCCCTTGCTAGCATAAGAGTTGACATTGAATAGTAACCCAGAAGCTTGCCAAATAGGTTTTCAACTTTATACCTAGTGCACAAGTAAAGCGGTTGCCACTATCTACATGGTTAACATTTGATGGTGTGTGAAAATGTACTTCAAACCACCCAGTGTAAAATGAAGAGCCACATCACTAGATGAGCTATAACTACTTCAGGGTTGGTTTAAGTCAAAGTACTCTTGCTTAATAGCAAGATTTTGTGATAAAAACTTGTCTCTAGGCTACCAAATTCATACACTTTAATACAGAGTTGCATGCAAATTTTGGCATTGAGTGTATTTTCCTGTAAAGTCACTTGACCAGTCTTTCCTTACTAAACCTAAAGATGTTTGCAGATATGTCATCTTCTGGTAACAGTCTAAATCACTAGAGCCTGGACTTGGAAAGCACCTAGTTCCAGGATCGATGTATTGCGGATTGGTTAAAAAAATAAAATTAAAAAAACATACTGTGTAATTATCCTAGATCATAACTAGCCATAGCACTCTCCCCAGCCTATTTTGTTTAAATTGCTTTCTCTTGTAAACGGAGTCTCTCAAATTTCCTAATCCTTTCTATAGGGGGGTGACTTCACCAATCACAATGGAACTGGAGGAAAATCAATCTATGGCAGCAAGTTCTGTGATGAGAACTTCACCCTGAAACACACAGGACCTGGTATCATGTCCATGGCTAATGCTGGCCCAAACACAAACGGTTCCCAGTTCTTCATCTGCACTGCAAAGACCAGCTGGTCAGTCCACATATTATTTGCTAGTCATGCAGAGAAAATGTTGGTAGTTCTAGATGTTGGATAGCTAAAATCTATTCTGGTACCAGCAGACTTGCTGATGGTTCTTGCGTTTAAAATGTCATAAATTAAATGTCCCTTCTATTAAGGGAAAATGGAGAACTGCCAAATAAGGGTACATTCCTGGCTGACACCAGGCCCCCATAACTCCCTATCAAAATCTTATGGGGGAAGAAGTCACCAGGCTCATTCTTGCTAAACAGTTTAACTCTCACTTTTGACACTTGTCTCCTTGGCAGCCAGTGTTATCTGAGGCCTCTACCACCAAAGATGTCCCATACTGTGATCAGCATTTTTCCTTATGAAGAGGTGTTGAGCAAACTGTCTAGCCCAATAAGTTGATAGCACCCAGGGACCCCATAACTACTTTAGATGAAGTTGTGGATTGGGAGTGTCATTTACTGGGTTATCTAGGCCTGCATTGCATTTTAAACTGGAAAATTAACATATGGCACACCTGGCAAGTCAGTGACATGAGTGTCCTGTTATTTGCAGGCTATATTCAAACAGCTGGAGTCATATGCACTGCCTTTCTTCAGTGCACAATCTAAAACAGACTATATAAATTGCTTACTTTTACTGTATGCTGGCATTTGACTTTTAGCACTTGGCCTAAACTTATATTTTATTTTTCCTCCTGCAGGCTGGATGGTAAACACGTTGTGTTTGGACAAGTTACTGAAGGCATGGAAGTTGTGCACGCAATGGAAAAGTGTGGCACTCAGAGTGGAAAACCAAACAAAAAGATCACCATTACTAATTCTGGCGAGCTCTAAGAGCACAGCCAGCTTTCTTTAGCGTATCTTCCTCTGGTCTTAACACCACAAGCATTCCATTTCTGTTAGCTGGTGGCTTCAGTCCCCCAGGTCCAGTACTGAAATTGTGCTATTTGAACTGCTGCATTTTCTGTGGTGCTTAACCACCCCCTGCCCTGTCTCCTGGGGTTGTTTTTGTTATTTTTATTTTGTTTTTTGGGTCCCATTCTATCCCATTCACCCTACAAATTCTGTGGACAACAGAATGGTGTCTAACAAGACAAATTAAATGAAATCACATTAAACTGTCTCTTGCTTGACTTTAATTGTGTTAAAGATGTTGTGGTACAGTGTAAGCACATGACTCTACTGAAATTTCATATTAAAAAAAATCGTTTTCCAAAGTCAGTAATGCCAAATGTGTAATTGCCTGCTCCTCAAAGGAAAGTTGTCGTTGAAACAAAATGCAGTTTGTGGTTTTTTTTTGTTTTTTTTTTTCCTTTAAAGGGCAACTCCTACCCTGAGCTCCCTGGTGTGTGCCTGTCTTCTGGACACAGGTCAAGTAGCGGTTCTCTGCACCTATTTGACCAGCATCACTGATATAGCTATAGATATAGCTATATAATGGTTAAACTAAATTCTCATTAAAGGACCACTATAGTGCCAGGAAAACAAACTTTTATTTTCATGGCACTTTAGGATCTCTGTGTCCCTCCCTCCCCACCAGGCTCATGATGTGTTAAGGGGTTAAACATTTGCCTTTCTCCAGCACCAGGCTCCATCGGCACTGGGATCTCTCCTCCCTCTTCCGATGGCAGCGCGGCAAGAGCCGCACACACCTTCAACCAGTCCACATAAAAGAATTTCTCAAAGCTTTCCTATGAACGGCAGCATATTCTCACTGTGAAAATCTGAGAAGCACCTCTAGCAGATGTCAATGAGACTGCCACTAGAGGCTGGATTAATGTAAACATAGCCGTTTCTCTAAAACTGCTGTTTACAGCTGCAGGGTTAACCCTACATGGACCTGGCACTTCATTGAGCTGAAGGGGTCTGGGTGCCTATAGTGGTCCTTTAAGCACTGATCTGAACACTAGTCAGGCCATAAGACTTTAACACAAATATCAAACTTGCAGTGATGTCCCTACTGTAAGGGATTCAGAGTGGTTACATATTAATTAAAATCACTTAAAAAAAAAAAACCTCATTCCATTTTAAACATGGGTTCCTTGGCATATGCTGTGTAAATTACTGGAAATGTGAGGTTTCTGTGGGAAATGAGTCATCTGGCTTGACTGGTGTGCAATATATTGTCACTGACTTCATGTGGAAGGGGTTTTAATTCCTAGTGTGGCACATGCGCCTCAATGCCCTAACATTGGCTGATGTAGGTGAAGCACAACCCAGAGGAACTTAAGCACTGGAATAGGCTATGTGAATAACAGGCTTTCTTAATTTAAAAAAAAAAAAAAATTTTGTAGTGTGTGCACAACAGGTGGGGACCAGAAGGCACACTACTTTATATTCCTAACACTACTTTTACTTTAAGTTATGGGAATGTTCCATGCCATCCCGCTTTAAAGCAGTTGCAGCGGCATGTAATGGCTTTGAGCCCCCCGCGACCTCCCTCTACTTACCACCTCCGTGACCTGCTTCTGGGGGACTGCCTGACAGCCCAGGCAAACCTGCCTTTACCCCTATTATATACAGTATATAACATAATTAAGGAAAATAAACTTCATTAAACTGTATTTTGATGCCAATATAGTATCAAAATACACTTGGAATGAAATTATAATTACTAATCCTTTCATCATGCATGTTGAACTCAAATATATAATGTGGTTTTTTTCTACATAACGAAATGATTTCATAAATTTGATGGATCTGCCTGATGTCCCTGTCATGAAGTCCCCAGAATTTACTTTGCAATTGTGATATTTAACCCTGCACATTTCCAATACACCATAAAACTTTGTATATGGGGGGTACTGTTATACTCCAGAGACTTTGCTGAAAACAAATGAGTTTCAAAACTGTATCCCAACAATCACCAGTAAAATAAAAATGCTATTTTTGCCCAGTGATTAGACATAACCCATTTTGAATACCCTGAATTTTCAAAATGGTATTCCATGGTGGTTCATTTTAATTTCTGGCCTGTTATACGGTGTCAATGGCAACAACCAATTTGCAAAAACCGAAATGGGGAAACTCTTGTATTTGGCCCTGTAACGTTCCAAAACACCGTAAAACCCATACATGGGATGTACTGTTGTATTTGTGAGACACTATTCTACACAAATGAGTGTTTTAGAGCAGAACTTGGATATGGACATCATCTGTGAAAGGACAGTTTATTTGTGGGGAAAAAGGTAAAAACTACGAATGCTAACTTTGGCCAGTGTTAATCTAGCTATTAAAGACTGGACATACCCCATTTTGAATACTGTCTGTTTGCAAATGGTATGCAATGATGGGTCATTTTCATTCCTGGGCTGCCTCAGGCAAAATAGGCCCAGCAAACCAATCTGGCAAATATTAATATATAACAGAAAATGGAGCATGTCCTACATTTGACACTAAATCGTCAATACCCCATAATCTGTAGAGGGTGGGTACTGTTATATTCGTGAGACATCACTGAACACTGTTTTATTGCAGTAAAACAGTCATGACATTCATCCCATTGTACAGTGCTACAGAATTTGCTGGCACTATATAAAAAAAATTAATGGTTAACTTTCCACGCAGCACTAATAAAATATCAATGTCTTAATTCACATTAAATTCTGTATTTATATAGTGCCAGCAAATTCCGTAACGCTGTACAATGGATGGACTAACAGACATGTAATTGTAACCAGACAAATGGACACACATGAAGAGGGGTTAAGGGCCTTGCTCCATAACATTACCTGCTATATAAATATTTGATGTGAAATCAAAGCCATATATCTCCTGAAGAAAATATAT